CATGGTGGCACACAACTGTAGTCCCAGCTACTGGGGATGCTAAGGCACAAGAATGGCTCGAACGCAGGAGGCAGAGGTTACAGTGAGCCAAGATCGAGATACTCCACTCCAGCCTGGGCAACAGAGCAAGACTGTCTCAACAAATAAAAAAAAAAAAAAAAAACACAATAACCCGCATTAACATTTGGCAGATAAACTGAAGCCCAGAGAGGTGGTGTCATTTGTCCAAGGTCACATAGCTGTTAAGGGAATAATAAGGTTTCGAATCCAGACTTTCAGAGTCCCTTGCCCTGAACCACAGGGTGGCAGCTGCCTGCTGAGGTCAGGAGAGATGGGCGCCGAGGCTTCCTTCCAGCCTGCGGAGCTTTGCATGTCATCTTAAGTGGTTTGGACTCAGTGGTGGGGGCCATGTGAGGGTTCAGCAGGGATGACGGCCTCACCTGTTTCACTGCAATACCACCAGCACACAGTAGGTGCTCGGCAGCCATTTGTTGAATGAAGGTTGGACGAGTGATAGAACACCTTGATACCGAAAGTGAGAATGGATCGAGGTGAGGGAGTCTGGTCACAAGGATGCAGTTTGGAGGGATGGGGGAGCCCAGTGGGTTCACTTTAGACGGATGGGGTGGTGCATGCTTGCACGTTTTTCGCTGAGACACTTGAGGAGTGCTTGGAAATCTTGATTAAGGCTCAGCATTGGCAGTTGGGGTCTGGAACGATTCCCTGGTGCTGTCCCAGCCCCAGCTGTGATCACCACGAGGTGAGCTAGAAGGCCCCAAGGTCCTTGGCACCAGCCCCTGGGCAGGCTGGAGAGGATGACAGGGGATGGGGGCTTGGTGAGGAGCCTGAGAGCCCAGTTTCTGGGGTACCTGCACCCAGCTCAGCACCTGCTTGTTAAGAACCTGCTGCCTTGAGTGATGGCAGGGAGGGGATTTGTTTAGGGGTCAGAAGTGGTGCATTTCCAGGCTGTTGTGCCTCTGTTTCTCCTCCCCCAACGAAGGCAGTTCCCCATCAGAGATCTTGTTGGAGGAAAGGGGCAGTGGGTACTGCCATAACCACATTGTCAGCTCCAGGAGGGGGTGGTCCCATGGGCCTCCTGTAGCCAGCTCCACAGGCCACCTCCTGACCCGACCCCCTTTCTGTGGCTGAACTTCTGCTCCCAATAGCCCCTCCCACTTCTTCGTTTCTTTTCTTTTTTCTTTCTTTCTTTTTTGGAGGGGAATGGAGTCTCTCTCTGTTGCCCAGGCTGGAGGGCAGTGGCACAATCTCAGATCACTGCAGCCTCCACCTCCCGAGTTCAAGCAATTCTTGTGCCTCAGCTTCCTGAGTAGCTGAGATTACAGGTGCTGGCTACCACGGCTGGCTAATTTTTGTATTTTTAGTAGAGACAGCGTTTTACTATGTTAGCCAGGTTAGTCTCGGACTCCTGACCTCAAGTGATCTGCCTGCCTCAGCCTCCCAATGTGCTGTGATTACAGCTGTGAGCCATCACGCCCAGCCCCTGCTTCTTGGTTTCTAACAGGCAGAAGGCCTCCCCATGTTGACACCCCAGATTGGAAGGGGCCCAGAAAGTTTGCACGTGGAACTACAATTCCTCTCCACACCCCTTGGCAGGCTTTGGAGTATCTCACTGCCAATTGCTTAGCCCCTTGGAGGGTGGCCGTGGGTCTAATGGCATTCGACAGCTGTGCAAGTGATGTGTACATGGGGCTCCGGCCGTGGGAGCACCAGGCAGGAGGCCAGCCACCGCCTGTCTGCGGGAGAGAGGCAGTCACATGTACTGGCCAAGGCTGTCCTGGGCCCAAGCATGCTGTACTTTATAAATGAGGAAAGGGACATTGAGTTCTAGCTGCTGTTTTAATTTGAAAGTTGGAGCCCTCTGTGTGAAAAGGGGCCTTTGGGGCCAGCCCTCTTACCACCGGTAAGTGGGGCCCACAGGACAAAGGGACAGGCTGGCCATGTTGGTTGCCCAGGCAGAAAGCACTCCTGACCTTCCCTGCAGCAGAGAGGGGCTCAAGTCAGGACTGAAACTGCCCTCCCATTGCCTGGTATGCTCTGGGCATGCCACACCAGGTCCTCCCGTCTCTCCCGCTCACCCGGGGACTATTTGTGCTGTCCTAGCAAGTGCACAGACCAAAGGCATGCAGGTCAGAGAGGCAGGCAGGCCAGACCCGCCTAATCAGAGCAGACAGGGTTCCCGGTACAGAATGTGTGAGTGATGGCCAAGATCCAGGCGCATCCAGACACCCGCCCAGCTGGTGTCACTCTCTGTCCTTGCGTAATCCCCTGCCTGCCTCTGTCTGTTCCTGCTGGCCCTCCTGGTTCTCTGACAGTGCCCAGACTCCCTTTTTGGCTGCAAATTCCCGTGTGTTGCCACGTTTACCTCAGAACAACTTGTGTTGGTTTGCACTATGAGGAGAACACACACAAGGTCCACCGCCCTGCATGGGGCTGCCAGCATGGCCTCTGTGCTCACCAGCCTCAGGGGTGAGGGATCGTGCCTCCCCATCCTTTCACCACCTCTTGGTTGTAGGAGCATGGCCTTTATGGCTGTCTGATCCACATATCATGCCTGTTTGTGGCATGCCAGACTGTACAGCCAGGCCCTGCCGCGCAGCCAGCCTGCCTTTATTCCCTTTATGGAAACCACTTCTCTAGGGGCAGGAGGACAAGGGCTGTCCTTGGCCGAGCAGGGGGTGGCCCGTGACATTGGAGGAAAGCCCTGATTCCCCCGTGGTGCCTCCGCCCCCTGCATGGCGGGCCGGCCCCCAGGAGGAGTGAGGGTTGGGAGTGGTGGGGTGGGCAGCAGGCGGCACCATCTGCGGCCGTCCTTTGTGCTGGCAGTGGAGCGATCCCTCCATCGCTGCAATCCAGCAGGCCTCGTGCTTGGAGTGCAAATGAGTTTCCAGATGCCCAGTGCCCCCGCACAAGAGGCGGTACCTAGGGGCCTGGGAGAAGGATGGAGTGGGCTGGAGGCTGGTTTTTGTCTGTCCTGGCCTCCCTGAATAGGCTGCCTCTCCAGCTACAGCAGATGTGTGCTGGACACCCCCACAGGCGTATTTGCCAGTTTCTGGGCAGATGTACATGCCAGGGGAGAGTGCCTCTTCTCTGATACTGTCCTCCTTTTGAGGGTGGTAACAAGGTGACCCCACAGAGAGGCAGAATACATCTTTTAAGACTTAGCTCATCTACTGGGCCCCCTCCTGGAGGGAGAAGCAGGGGCCCCCTTGGGGACCATAGCCCCTGCTTGCCTCCTTGGTTGGGCGTCTTTGTGCACCACACAAGCTGAGCAAATGGAGCAAGTGGCCCTGGCGTCTTCTTGGGGCCTTGGGCTGACAGAACCCTGTCTGGGTGGCTTGGGGTGGCAATCTGCCCAGCCCCTTCCTGTCATCGTGCATATGGATGTCTTCTACCACTGCCAGCTGAACGTGGTGACACAGAAGACGCCTCAGGGGTTCCTTATTGACTCAGAGGGGCTGGAGGGCCATGAACACCTAGGATTTTGCCTTCTGAAGGCTTTCATCTCCTCCCCACCTTCTGGTCCTGCCTCGGGCTCTACCACCAGGGCGTGGGGCCAAGGGCAGGAGCACCGTCTCTGTTCCTGCCGACTCTGGCTGTGGCTACTGTGAGCAGCTTTGTCTGCCCAGGCCCCGTCTGCTCATCTGTAGAATGAGGATAATAATAGCTAATGATGTCCTGGATGGTCGAGAAAAAAGGGTGCAGAGGCACGTTTTACAGCATCCAGATGGGAGCCCCTTGAAGTGCAGACTCGGCTTTGCACCCAGCCGCGTGCTGAGCAGTTGTGATTCAAAAGATGCCTGGCCACTCTTGCCCATTGACTGCTTCCAGAATGCCTAGATCACTCAGCAGGAGTAGGGCCTCGGCTGAGGTGTGGCCACCCTTCATCCAGCAGTCCCACAGACCCAGCAGTTCCCCATCTGTCCCTCCCTGCAGCCTGGGAGGAAGCCAGGGCACCAGTCGTTACTCCTTTTTACCTCCAGGCAAACTGAGGATCAGAGAGTGTCTGTGGGCTTCTGGAGTCCAACAGCAAGATGGTGACGGAGCGCAGCCTTCCAGTTCCCCCAGCCCCCAGCTTCGTCGTGTACTTCAGGAAGACAGGCCAGCTAAGACACGCTGGCCAGAGTCCAAGCTGAGACACGCTGGCCTAGGGGGCGCTTTTGGCTCCTGTGGCCACATAGGGACAGTGAACAATGAAAGAAAATGGCAGTTTTCCCAGCCCCCAGTTCACATGGAGCTCTCTCAGCCTGGACATGCACGGCTGCTCCAGGCTCCTGCCTTGGGCACCCCTGCTGTCTCCTGCTTGGCCCCTCAACACCCCAGCCATCCTCTGCTCTGGACACCCTTTGTCTCCCCATGCATTTGTGCCCAGCAGAGCAGGGACCAATTGTGGGTATGACCAGGAGGTGTGTGCTAGGGGGCAGTTTCTGGGCGGGAGTTTCAGGAGCAGCCCTGCAGACACTCCTGGGTTATCAACAGATTCTAAGGCGGCTACAGATTTTGTTCAAACCTTGTGATTTTTGAGCCTACCCATGGGGAGAAACCACGATTCGCCTCTGATCAAAGTGCGAGGGGGTGGGCTTCCCTGAGAGATCTGGGGTGGCGGGCAGCTGCTGAGCTTGCCCTGACTCACGGTCTGTGCCAGGCCCCCTCACCCCTCCGGTTTCCCCTTGGCACCATCTCTGCCACCCCTTCCATCATCCTGACTCTCCCCCTCTTTGCTGCCTCCGACCAGTACTTCCCGCATGCAGCCATTACGACAGGCCCTCCTCTGACCTGCTGTTAATGCAAGGGTGTCAGTCCCATTTTACAGTTGAGAACACTGAGGCCTCCCAAGAAGGCTGAGTGAGTCTTCTGCTGTCGCACGAATCTGGGAGCAAAGCCAGCATGGATAGCACCCAGTCTGGGAAGGGCGGGGAGGGATCTTGGTGTGGCAAGGTATGATGAACAAGCACCCACTGACCGTGCCGTCCTTCCTGCAGCCCTGCTGTCCTCCTGGTGCGAAGAGCTAGGCCGCCTGCTGCTGCTCCGACATCAGAAGAGCCGCCAGAGTGACCCCCCTGGGAAACTCCCCATGCAGCACCCCCTCAGCTCCATGAGCTCCATGAAACCCACTCTGTCGCACAGGTAAGTGGGTGGGTGCCATGGGGGCAGGCACTGAGCAGACAGCCTTGGGTCTCAGATCTCCTTGGACGTGTCTCTGGGGTAGGCCCTCTGCAACCATGAGGTCGCTGCATTTGCTAAGGTGCAGTTGTTTTTGCATCTTCATGGGCGAGCCCTGTTTGTCCCTCTCAAACAGCTTGAAAGCATTGAGTTTGTCACTTTGGTGGGGGCTGTTTTTCTTCAGGTTCTAGGCATCTGGCAAAATGTTAGAAATTCTGAGCTCAGCACCTTCCCTCTTTCTTGACCAGGATGTTGGGCAAACCCAGAGAAACCAGGGGTTGACAGGGGTCTCAGGAAGGCCCATGGGGCTGGTGGTTTCAGCCAAGATGGGGACAGAACCAGCCCAGGCCAGCCACCCTGGAGCCAAGTGACACTGGGCTGGGTCCGCCAGAAGCCCAGGGTCACAGGCAGGAATGGGCTTGCTGGAGGCTACCAGCACCAAGGGATTGTCCAGTCCACCTGCGCCAGCCTCAGAAGGAGCACGTGGCCAGGACTGGCAATTCCCCCAGTTAATTATCTTTCGAGTCCCTTGCTGAGCTGGGGATGCGCTCTCTGAGCACTCTGCAGGCTGACCCTGCAACAACAGGGCCTGTCATGCTGTCTGCTCTCCCCTTCGCGTGTCCCCGCTAATGATCAGGAGGTGCATTTGCAGTCAGAGCGCGGCTCTCATTATCCAGCCTGACTGAGGGACCCACAGCCCAGAGCACGCTGCAGGCAGACCTGGGTCGCACCATCGAGGCGCTGCCGGGAGCTCGGGTGTCAGCCACGCTTTATAAATCAAATTAGAGGCTTGTTGACTTTCTGAGCTGGAAAGGACCTTAGTGCTCATCATGTCCAGTGCCCTGCCTGGGCCCCATCGCCCCTGACATGCGGTTGCCTGCCTCAGTCATAAGCCCTTTGTACCATAGCAAGCCCACCACCACCCAGGGTACTGCCTCCTTGGACCCTGGGTCTGGTTGCTGAGCAGATCCAAGCCCCCCTTCTGTGGCAGTGTTTCTGAGTGCATTTTCACAGGATAATTTTTTTCTTATTAATATTATTGTTTTTGAGACAGGATATGGTTCTGTCACCCAGTGGCTCCGTCTCAGCTCACTGCAGCCTCCGCCCCTTGGGCTCAAGTGATCCTCCCCACCTCAGCGTCCCAAGTAGCTGGGACCACAGGCATCCACCACCACCCCGGCTAATTTTTTGTATTTTTATTAGAGATGGGGTTGCCCAGGCTAGTCTTGAACTCCTAAGCTCAAGCAAGCCACCTGCCTCAGCCTCCTAAAGTGCTGGGATTATAGGTGTGAGCCACCATGCCGGCCTATTATTTTTAAAAGACAGAGTCCCGCCCTGTTGGACAGGCTGGAATGCAATGGCTTTCTCATAGCTCTCTGCAGCCTCCACCTCCTTGGCTCAAGCAATCCTCCTACCTCAGTATCCTGAGTAGCTGGAAGCATAGCTGCCTGCCACCACACCTGGCTATTTCTTTTTAATTTTTGTGGAGACAGCATCTCACTATGTTGCCCAGGCTCGTTTCGAACTCCTGGCTTCAAACAATCCTACCACCTCAGCCTCCCGATATGCTGGGATTACAAGCATTCGCCACTGCACCTGTCTGACACAGTGATTTTTTTATGGTGCAGGACTTTGCGGGCATTTAGCGTCTTGGTCCCTGCCCACTCCATTCTCTCTCTTTTTTTTTAATGCCCACCCCTTGGTTAATCCCACTCCATTCTTCTGATGACTGCCTTCCTCCCCTAAGCATGGTCATAACAAAAGTACCCTCCCACATTTGAGGGGAGTCTCACCCTTGGTTAAGGACCGCTGCTCCAGAGAGACAAAACCTGCCTCCGCCTCCCTCTGCGTACCTTTTGCTAAAAGCCACAGTTTGTCTTCATCTGAACCAAGCCCCTGAGTACAGGCTGCAGCTGCATTCACTTGAGCAGCATACCTCGCAGTTGCCCTCGGGAAGCTGTACCTTATTAATTCTAGCCCAGCTGTCCATCCCTCCAGACTCATCCTCCTCTCATCATCCCACGTCTTATGACCTTCCCAAGCTTCTGTCCTCCAAGTCATTTTAGTAGAGTTGTTGCTGATGGTGGGCCAGAGCCCTGCGGTTCCCCACTAGAGACCAGCCTCAGACCTGCTTGACCATGATTGTTTGGCCACAAAGTGCCACAGATCTGGATCTCGGCCAGCTCTTTGCCAGCTAAGGCACGAGGTTGTTCAGTCCTGGGGTTAAACAGAGATGAGATGTGTCTGTGCTTGAGGAGTGGCCTCGAGGTAGTTGGGGAAATAAAACTCAATGAGGCCACATTGTAATCTGGCAGAGCAGGGCAGGGCTAGGGTTCATTGATAGGCAGACTTGGCTTTGGGATTTAGAAGGAGGAAGATAGACAGGGCTGACTGTCAGAAGGCTGCCCAGAGGATGGGAGTCTTGACCTTGAAGGACTTGGGCTGGGAGGGGTGGGTACATTCTATGAAGTCAATCTGGCTTTCCTAAGAAATGCTATGCCACTGGCCAGCACCCAGTTCCCTGCTGCCTCCTCCACCATGGCCTCAGCTCTCTGTAGGTCCAGCAGAATGACTGAGAATGCAAAGCTGGTGGTCTGAGAGCTTGAAGACCAGGCTGTCACTTAGTCTTTGGGCCTTGGATAGTCTGTCAGAGAAAGGAAAGCCATGTGGGCTGAAAGACTCGCTGAGTACTGGTGGCTAACCAGTCGGTCCCGTGGAGCGAGGCTTCCTCGTGGGAGCACAGGGAGGTGGTGGGGCTGGTAGACAATATCCCACACTTTGAATGGCGGAATTGGAAGGGAAACTGGGCCAAGTAGGAAAGTGACTTGCCCCAGAATACACAACCAGTAAAGGGCGTAGCACGACAATAAGTAGCACACAGTGCTCTGCTGTTCAGCTGGTCCTTCAGGGTCAACAAGGTGGTAGGTATCTAGTTGTTAACCCAATTCGGAGGGTCTTTTTGGAAGAGGGTCATCTACTGTTCTGATCCATAGCTCACCTGTTTCCCTTTTTATAGCCTGTGCTCCTTCTCCAAGCCCCAGGCTGTTCTGAGGACACGCTGTGGTTGGGCACTTGAAAGTTACACTCTCTCTCCTTGCAACCTTTATGAATTTCACAAAGGATACATTCCTCATTTCCAGGGAAACTCCAGCGGGGTCCATCACCTCGTAAGTCCTCAATGCAATTTCCCAAACAATGGAAAAGAAAGCTGAGCACTTTCACAATTAGCAAACTGTTTTAGTCCATCATCCTCCACAATTCTATTGAATGGCTTGGGGGAAGGAAGCTCTTTTTGCCTTTTCATTAGGAGACATTGAGCCAGAGGTGAGCTTGGGTGTGCTAGAACAGTTGAGATTTGATGCCTGCTGGTATCTGGCTGTTTGAAGGCTCTGGGTCCTTGTCTGAGGCTCTGAAGACAAATGGGTGAGGACGAGGGAACCTGGAGCCTGGACACTTGCAGCCCCGCCCTGCCCTTAGGGACGGCAGATGCCTAGAGGGTCCCTGGTGATTGTCATATTTGGAGAGCTCGGGTGTCAAAGTCATGTCTGCTGCAGGCTGCAGAGGTTTGGTGCTGCGGCATGAGGCTGTGAGACAGGGCCTGCGTTCTTCCACGTGGACGCTATGCCTCCCAGCAAGGCCTTTGACCCCTTGGCCTCATGGTTCCCCGCTGATGGGGGACATGACGCTACATGAGCAGTATGTCAGGAAAGGGTCAGGCTGCCACAGCCCCGCAGCCATTTCTGAGGGTGAGAGTGGTGACGAGGAATAGTAATTATCCTCAGTTTGTGAAAGGCTGTAGCCTTGCTCCCTGTTTTGTCCTCATCACTGGCTGCAGTGGGGCTGCCATCTATACTCACAGATGCCCAGGATGCTATACAAGAGAAGGTGGCCGGAGAGGCCTGGCAAGGTCTGGGACCAGCGGCTGGGCAAGTAGGACACCTTCCAAGTCCCTGCAGTGACCTGCACTTGAAGCCAATGAAGTCTTTCTGCCTTCTTCCAGATTTTTAATGAGTGGTTAAAAAAGCCATTTGTGATTAGCACATTGTCCTTATGCAAATCAGTGTTGCAAAGGTAATTAAGAGCCTAATAAATCTTATTTATGCTGTTAATTTGATTACAATCAAAACTCACTGGGGCTGGGGAAGCCTCCAAGATTGAGAGGTGCCATCCTCCTCCTTCCAGGTGCGGGATTTACAGACCCCAACAGAGAGGCTTCTGGGTGGGAGGACCCCTGTCGTCCCCTGGGTATAGCAGGTGGGGACACAGGCCCTGGAGCCAGGTTGCCAGGCCTTGAGTTTCAGCCGGGCCATATTCTAGCTGGGTAGCCCGCCAGTGACTTACCCTCCTTGTGCCTTGGTTTCCTCATCTGTAGAGGGGGAATAACAGCAGGGGCAGTTGTGTGCTTGTTGCAGAGCCTGGCACACTGGGAGCCCGCGGACTGGTCATTATTCCCGTGCCCCTCAGCCGGGTGCCATTAAAGTCTTAGGTGCTCATTTACGGCCAGACAGGAAAGAAGGTGGTCTATCAAAAGCCACATCCCACCGTCTCCACAGCTGTCATTTTTAGCTCATTTTTGCATAGCTTCACCAAAGCTCAGTTTCTATTAGGGGCCCTTCTTGCCCCAAGAACATTTTTAAAACAAAAAACAAGGAAAGGGGAGAATTAAAAGACCCACAAATCGCTGTACCATCAGCTCCAGATGGCCAAGATGTAAAGGATCTTTTCCTTTCCTCGTTCCCATTGAAAAATTTTAACACCCTCTAATATGCAGTTAGCTGCACAAGTTCCTCTCTAGGTTTCACCGCAGGGAGGGGAGGAAATAGGCCCCAGTAATGGTGATGATGGAGAACGTTGTTAATGGTTTCCCTAAATTAAAGAGGGTGGGAGCTTCAGCTCCTCACTGGCTTGGCATTTCATTAGCGGTAACACTACAGCCTAGCATGGAGACAGGACCAATATGGTTG